TATAAATGAATTTATAAAAGATGACAGTAAAACAAGAAAACTTGTATTTTTATAAAAAAAAAAGTCAAAATCAAATAAGGACTATTGAGTATTATAAATTTCCTGAATAAGAAAGGAATTCATTAATTTAAATATTATTTTTGTTATGAAAAAATTATAATGACAAAGGAATTTAATCTTTCAAAAAGTAAAAATTATACAATATTTGAAATATGATATTATCGTTGAATATGATAAATATAAAACATATATATCTTGATTTATTAATTTCATTACAATTATTATTAATAATAGCAAATATTATTTTTACTTGCAGAATATAAAAATCATTTTTTTCCGTTGTATTGTACAATCGAATTATTTTATTTATTTTGTCCCAAATATTCATTGATAATTTTGTTTTCTATTTGGCATAAAGTTCAGTTGAATTTAATAGTAAAATCTATGAATCAATTCTGGTGCTTTTGTGTACACTCGTCAAATATTGCACTGTATAAGAGTGATAAATATTTATGAGAAAAATTCATCAATGCTATCGAGATAAATCTTTTATCATATTTATTGTTTATTCTTATAGATATAGATATTAGTCTAATTACATAAGTTTGCAAACAGTAGAAAAAGATAAAGAAAGATAATGATTTTGGTTGAGAAACGCTATGTCGTAATGAAACATAATGAATAATCTCATGCAGAAAGGTAACATAATTACTAATTAGTAATGTTTCATTATGTACATTGATCGATTCACTTTTCAATGATTGATAAATTGATTCACAATTAATCATACAAATTTTATAGAGCTATAAAAATTGATGATCATCAAGTTGTGAACATAGAAGAAACATAGTATTATTAAGTCCGTTCTTAGAAAAAAGTTATTGAACCTGATTATTAGTTTATTGAGTGCTGCATTAAAGTAGTTCTCTACATAAGGAAATAACATAGGATGAGAAAAATACGAATATGGATCTGTAACTGCTATGCATAGCATTATTACCTGATAAAACTCGTCTGTGAAGTCGAAAGGGTGTGGGGTGTGGATGGGTGAGTATGGGTCTTCTCTTCACTCACACCCACACCTACACCCTTGTAATCGAAATGTATTATAAACAAATCTAAAAAGAAAAATCATTTGAAATTTAACTATTTGCATAAATTCTAGAATTTTTCTAAGAAGCGTTTACTTCTTTTTTTCATCGGAATAATTCAGATGTTGTTTAAGTTTTTCTTCAGTTGTATCGACATTATAACGTGATTTCTGTTTATGACCACCATATTCATAATCAACAAGATTATTTTTGAGAATTTACATTTGTTCTCTATAAGCATTGTCATGTCAATATTCTGTAACGAATTGACTTCGATTATTTTTATCGCGAATTTTTCATGAATGTTTTCATTGAAGACTGTGATCTTGGTACTCCATTACAATCTTTTGCCTTTCGATATGCTGCACATGCTGACCAACTTTCACTGTGTTTCTTACAATTGAATTCACCACTTTACATTTTAAGTAACTAAATGGAATTCGATGGTAACTTACGATACAAAGTTGATTCAGATTGTGAAAAATAAGTGAAAAACAGGCGATATTGATATGCATTTTAGATAAAAATGACTTGCATGATATATGATAAATACTGCTTGTGTATAGATGAAAAATAACGAACAGAAATGAGTATAAATGTTTTTTTTTTCAGTAGTTCTTATCTGCAAATTATTATTCACTCACTTAGTGTGCAGTAACATGACGTATGTAGTAAGAGAAAAACAGTGAGTATCTTCTCTTCCTTCAAAGGTTCTTTGCAAAAGAGATTATGTCAATAATCGTCGCTTTTTATCTTGGTATTTTCCAATATGACGCATCGATTGCATTCTTCTCACATACATTTGCTCGCTGTAGATAAGAAGAGGGAAAAACGAAAACGTATGAATGTTGCTGCTGACGGAGAGAAGTCAGAATCTTCATGGTAGATTCAACTATTCCATTAAATGGCTTCTTATACTTACTCGAAATGAAAAATCTTCTGAATTGTGCATATCATATGAAAATACATATATTACTGCATAAGATCAATGAAGCCGGAATAAATTGTACTCTTTAGTCCATCTCCCGAATTAGCATTCAATTTACAACATCTATGAGATTTTATTTAGGTGCAAATAAAGAATCGTGGGTGTGAGTGTGGTTATAGGAAGACCGTCATCCACGTACACACCCACCTCTACACCCCAAACCCTCCAAATACTAAGATGAGAGAGCTGTATTGAAGTTTGATTCAAATGGAGAAAATGAATGGAACAAATAAATATTTTGCTTTCCTCTTAAACTCATAATATGCTCTTATTTCCATACAGACTATGCTTTGTTTGACATATGCACATACAGAGTATGTGAAGAATAAACTGATGCTTGAATGAACATCAAAAGAAACGCAGATATTTGCATACATAAATATGACTTTTTTAATGCTTCCTTAGCACACCTCACACTCACGCATATCCACACTCCAGACTTCAGACTCATATCGATACCAACCCATACTCAAATCAACACAACTACACAACCAAATTCACAGCAAGATTCTCACACCCACACCCATACCCCTATCGACAAGTATTCATCTCGCGACGAAGCGTGCGTCATTCTTTCCGCTTTGATGCATATCATTCTTTTACGTTTTCGATTTCTTCGAACATATCTTGGTAAATACCAACTTGTACAAATGCGACACTGAATTTCATTTCTTTTTGATGATTAATGTATCCATTCAACATGCTTTTGGTAATTCTACAATCACCCTTGCTTGTACACCTCATTACACCGGAGACATGTGTTTTTTATCCATTCTGCGGAACTGACGCATGCATAGCTCATATTTAATATTATTTTGATTGAATCAGTCAAATATAAAAGGAGGCCTTCTCTTTTCAATCATACATACAATATAACTATGTACACTTGTTTTCTTCTTTTTGTCTGCATCGGCTCGGTCGCAATCTCACAAGCAGCCTGTCCGATCGAGATCTATGAATCAAGCAGCTGCTTGGATAGTCAAGGTAAGACGGTTAGTATCGACAGTGGCTTTCGCTCATCGATGGATACCATATGTGCTGCTGCAACCCGTTGCAATGTCAAATTGCGCATAACAGATTCGTACCGAAAACGTGACACGACTGTGGTTGGTACAATTGTACCTCCAGCGGACAGGAGTAATCACAAAGTTGGCCATGCCATCGATATGAATGTTGTCTATGGAGTAAGTGACACATTGTGTAATTCGAAGTGTCTTCGTGGAGAACAACCGACGGACGTCAAATGTTTCATTAATGAGGTCAAGAGTGAAGGATTACGGTGGGGAGGTGACTTCAGTACTACGGATCCAGTGCATATCGATGATGGATATAATCAAAATGCGGCCCACTACAAAGAGCTTTATGCGAAGATTCAAAAAGAATGCTAACACTTTTTCTTTCTCGTGACCCTACTCTGTTATTTGTACTACAAAATTTTCCATGACTTATTCTCGAAATTTCTTGTGTGGCTCATTCTTTTTTCTTTTCCTATAAACAATTCGTGTGATTCAAGATATATATATATAATTCTATTCCACAGATTGTTAATGTTGAAATGTTAGGAGATTTGAGGATTATGATGAATGGTTGAGCTTGTTCCTTACACTCTCACTTTCATACATCCAGCTACCATCATCGACTTTCACCCATCTGTAAGTTAAAAAGCTGGCAATTAACTGTTAGGTAGAAATGTTTGTTCTATGAACATCTGGTAATTTTAGAAATAGTAATTAGCAATGGAAATACAGAGAGAATATTTCACCATAGTATTCTAGATAGACTAACAGGTCCTTTTGAATCAATGGGGTATGTTTTTCTTATGACTGAATTGAAGTAGCTATCGTTGCGATATCTACGTCGGTTGTTGAACAGTTTAAGAACTTACCTACGCCTTAAGATAGTCACCCACCCTTGCCCTCACTCACCTATCCTCATGTATGCTCAAGAATACTCGAAAGATTTTTTCTTTATAGATTTACTTATAGCGCAGATATTGAAGTTATTTAATTAACGAGGCTCCCTCCCTCAGAATTAATTTACCACTAAGAACGCGCCGTTCGGGCTGAAGTTTTCAGGAATGAATGGTCCTAGTGAGAAACGCTTGTGACAAAAATTCCAGCCTGACATATCCTACTAGATCGAACTTCCACGAGTATCGAAATAACTTTATTGTTATAAGAGGGTGGATGTGGGTGTGGGTAGGGTGAGTGTAGATGTCGATCATTCCTCCGTCCACATCCAACACCCACACACACTCACACCCAATATTTAATTATGATAGAACATCGAACAATCGGTTCTCCAACTGAGAAATGTAATTTCGATTTCCCATCAATCAGACCGCAGACAAATCGATTAAAAATATCCACTCTTCAAGTTGTCCTTTCCGGATTGAGAATGGCTTTATATCATTGTTTAACAATGTGTGGCATAGAAATATGCTTTTGCTTATATCTATACAAAATAAATAGTTAAATATAGAGAAGAGACTTGACACAAATGGCATTACATTTAAAGTCCAGTAGTTCAGTGAGTTGAAATAGCAAACTGAAACTGAAACCCAAACACAATACCCACGCTAAACCCAAACCCGAACCCGAACTTAATACACGAACTCACCAAATCCAAACCCAAAGAGCTTGGTGCATGCCTACTCACATTCCACATCCTCATCAATTTACAAGATCTATCTATTGTGAAAATTCCAGTCAAATCGATGACATTGATTTCCCAAGGTTATTCTAGAACTGATCGTGGCTTAATTTCAATGTCTTGTAGATTACTGGCTATTGAATATTCCTTATGGGGGTGAGTAACTAGAGATGGTGTAGATTATTCTTTGCGTTCTATTTGACGTAAATTATGTTAGTATTTTTATTTTATTTTATTTTTTTCTCATGATTTCATTTAAAATAGATAACTTATTTTCCGACGCCTGATTCTAATTCATTCAAAGTGATTTGTTGAATGAATCTATTGTATTCCTCTTGTCGTGCACGGTTTCGTTGTTCGTATTGTTGTTTTCGTTCTAATGCCATTCGTGAAACCTTTGCTGATGTTGATAACGTTTCCTGAGCAAGCATTTTTAATTTAGCTTCTCGTTCACTATCTGTTTGTGTTACTGAAAGTCCAGTGATTCCTGCAATTTGATTTAACATATATTGACTGCTCACATCGTAATATGTCTTTGCCATAATGTATAATAAATGTGCCCCTCGATCTATCTCGTCTGCTGTTTCACGCATTGCACGAACAAAAAATTCTCGATCGGCATCATCCAACAACCCATTGTTTATCGTAACTTCCTTGATAGTATCAATAAATTCATGCATTACGGTCTCTTTAGTAGCTTCTGCACGTATTGCCAATGTAGAAAAGAATTTCGTCATATTGACCCATTGTTTTTGTATCTCAGCCATTTCGTTTGTTGCACTCACCAAAATATTAATAGTAGTCTGATAATCGGTTTGATTCATATTCAACTGAGACATTTGCATTATATTTGCAGTTAATTTATTCTGTTTTTGCAGCATTTCAGAGTACCATTTATCATATGCTGCTTCTGCTTCTCTCAGATGTTGCAACGCTAGTTCTGCTTTCTGTTTTGCATTTTGAAATGCTGTATTATCGATGGGTTGAGGTCTACTGCCGCCACACGAGGAGAAAATGCATGATAAAGAACCTCCAACTAGTGCACCAATGGCACCAGCAGCAAAGAGTCCTAAAAATCTCGGCTGTATTGGAATGGCATGAAATGCATTGTAATAGTCTTGTCGTGCCTTTTCTAAGACTTCTCGCGCTTCTGTATAGTGTTTTCGGATTTCTTCCAATTCAAAATTCAACGAATTTTGTTCTTGTATCGAAGTGTTCATTAGAGTCGTTATGTTATTCAGCACAGCAGTGCTAGACCCATACGTGCCTATTGTAACTTCCGTTACTTCTTGTAGGAGAGCTGCTGCGTTCTGAAAAGTTTTCAACGTGCTATTGGCTGAGTCAGCGCATAGTTTCGCAATTCGCTCTATATTACCTAATGATATTGGAAGCATCGATTGGATGAGACGAGGCCCGGCTGATGTAAGCAGTTTTAAAACTGAATTTAAGTGATTTGGTATTTGTTGTATATTTAACTGAATTCGATCCATGTTATTATGTGCATTGATGAATGCATTATATATTTGATTGGCAACTTGTACCAGAGTAGCACTAAACGAATTCGGATATTTGATATACTGATAGACATAATTATCCGTTGGTAATGTAAAAGCAAAATCTTTCTTGCTTGATAATACCATTAAATTACCA